GGACGCTTTCTCACCACTCTCAACCCCAACTGTTTCTTACACCGAACTTCAGAAAATATTCATTGATAATCCTAACTCACAAATAAAACTAAAAAATCACTTTCTTGAAAATTCTCAAACTTTATAGCACTGAACAAACTTACCAACTCATTCACTCGTGTTGTTATATATAACAGTTTTTGTTTTTCCCCTAAAACGGGAAAATTCGAGATATCACATCAAAATTAGACACTTACGAAACTTCTTGTCGTCACGCGTCATCATTACTTCATACTAAAATTCCTAGTAAAAACAGTACAAAACGTCTAAATTATCAGGTTGAAACATAGCTACAACACAATATAAACATCTAAATTATCAAGTTGAAACATAGCTACAACACAATATATATATATTATACAAAAGTTATTCAAATACGTTTTCACTTAACGATTTTCAGCAGGTATACATTATCACAATTCAGGTGTGATCTAAATCTGCTGAGCAGTTCAAATGTTAAGAGATTTGTGGATTTGTGATTGGAGCAACGATAAGATCAAGATAACCCAGATAATGTTATAACACAAACCACTTTGATATGATTTTATTTTTTCAGGTATATTTGTACATCTGCTATTTTCAAAATTCCGTTTCTTTAACCTGTTCTTCTTTTATAATGACCTTATTTGTGTGTAATCATTCAAATTCAACTTAGCATAGGATAGGTTCATTGGTATATGTGATAATAACGTAAGACTTAAACTACTTTAATTATATTTAAAAATTAGTTATTGAACATACTGATAAATTAATTTTAGGCACAGCTTTGCTGTTATTTAAAAACCATTGATATTATGCGCGCCGTGCATTTGTACATTATGTATACAAAACATATATTATTTATTTATCCATCTATTACCATCATTTATCATTACGAGTATTAATTTATCAAAATTTTACTTCATTATAAATTTCTTATGTTCAAATGTGATTAAAGTACCTGAACTTGAAAGGAATACCACCTCACTTTGTTTTTTATCATTTGTTACTGACAATTGAAACAAATACAAAAGTGAATTAGATCACAAATATCTAGACGTTATTAAGTAATAGTAAAAATATTTTTTTCGTTATAGTAAAATTATGAAATCTGAGATACCATGCTGTCCGTTTACTTTTAAAAAAATATCAACATGTTGAAATTATAATATTACGATACTACCTAAAATGACCAGGTTGTTAGGGCGCTCGACTCGCAATCTGAGGGTCGCGGGTTCGAATCCCCGTCACACCAAACATGCTTGCCCTTTCAGGCGTGGGGGCGTTATATAGTGAGGGTCAATCCCACTATTCGTTGGTAAAAGAGTAGCCAAGAGTTGGCGGTGGGTGGTAATTACTAGTTGCCTTCCCTCTAGCCTTACATTGCTAAATTAGGGACGGCTAGCGCAGATAGGCCTCGTGTAGCTTTGCGCGAAATTCAAAACAAACAAACCTAATAAGATAAATTTATGATTATTCTCACAATAGGAATAAAGTAATAAGATAACACGCCTTACTTACCGCCGTTTCTATGACGTTGTTACTTGGTCCAATCAACTTGACATACGATGACTAATCAATACATGTAGCTTCAGATATAGATTTAGAGTTCGGTGATGATTATTAGGTCTCTACAGAGCAAATAGATATTTCCAGATATCCCCATCCATCTAACACCCCAGTGGCACAGCGGTATGTCTGCGCGATTACAATACTAGAAACCATGTTTCGATACCCGTAGTGGACAGATCACAGATAGCCAATTGTGTAGCTTTGTTCTTAACTTCAAACAAACTCATCCATCTACAGTGAATTTAAATCCTTATAATAAATATTGAGTTATTTGTTTTATTTTTCGTTCCAGCCCAATAGGTTATAGGATCTCTTTGTCGAACCACCCACAAATTAACCATGATTATCCAACTTCCTTCAACTAAACGAGCAGTTCAATGTACAAGAATATAATATATTTGAGATTTGTTTCGGATATTTGTGCGAAGTTACACAATGACTACCTGCACTATAGCTGTTCCTAATCTTGAACTTGTAGTCGATATATAAGGATAACAGTTATATAACAGCATCAAATGCCAGCCCTTTGACTACTCTAATCGAATGGAGGGATTTCAAAGTGCGAATCGTGATTTCTTGATTTTTTTTTGTTTTGTTTTTTTAGGTAACGGGACCCGGATTAAGGACCCTCAGTTCTATAATCCAGCACGCTAGCCTTTCAGACACAAAATATATTAATATAACCCAGCACGCTAGCCTTTCAGACACGCATATATTAATATAATCCAGCACACTAGCCTTTCAGACACGCATATATTAATATATTTAGGAAAGTCTTTTTACTATATTATATTCAACATATTCTCAATTTTACGTAAAACTTTTATGTCCAGAGCAAACGGCCGACGTAGTGATTAGAGACTGGTATTTTGATATGGATCTTGATTATATTTTCAGATTAGAAAAGGTTTATAATGACACAACCAGTAAAGAAGACTAAGAAACATCAGTGTTAACATCGTAACTTAGCTATTAACTTGACAATGTTAACTATTTTGATTGTGTTCTTAAAGCACGTTTTTTTGCTACATTAAAGCTCGTCAGATGAAGCTGGCTTTAATTTAAAGAAATTTCAGGAACTTAATTGGTAAATTCTTCATAATGCATGAATATTTCATTTACTGTTAATAAATTCGCAAGAATAATAGTTATGTTGTTCTTAATGATTACAGTGTTTTTAACAATTAGTGTTATAAACGATTGGGGTGTTCTCAACAATTAGGTTGTTATTAATGATTAGGGTGTTCTTAACAGCTAGGTTATTCTTCATGACTAGGGTGCTCTTCACGATTAAAGAGCTCTTAATGATTAGAATGTTCTTAACAACTAGGTTGTTTATGAATATCCTAATCATTAAGGATGCAGCAAGATTAAGCACAGCTAGCACACATTAAAGAACATATCTACCATGGAGGCATGTAGTCAGTGGCACTTTTATGACCATTTACGAGTGTAGGAAGGCATGGTGTATGTACCAAAGTTATTAACCACTGAAATGTGATCCTCAACCTGTATTGTAGCTAGTTTTCCCCTAGAGTTCCCTGGCAGGAAATTCTTCAGTCTTTCCATAATGTAAGGATTGGACATCATCAAGGTGTTATATTACTGCAATAATGTGTGATGATGGTTTTACTGGCTATGTGGATTGTGCCTGTGGCCTCAGATTGTTATTATTGATATATAAACCCATGTTTTCTCAGCGTGGAACAGATTTTAAGATCTTAATACAGATTAAAAGATAGATTTGATGCTTTGCTAGATTTTCAGTAAATGTGTTACACAAAACACTTGTCTTGCCTTTGATTGTGCTTTTCTGTAATAAATATTGTTTTACTATAGCCAGTTCCTTTCTTTACTTTAAACTCAGTCGAGGTTGAGAGAGTATGTTTTGCTCCGTGAAATATTTCCTACTTGATTATTCTAAGGGAAATCAGTGAAATTCAGAATATTACAATGTAAAGAAAATGTCATCTCATTCTTTTACAAAGTAACATCCCTAACAGTATGTTTTATCTAGCAAACTTTGTTAATCTTATCGTATTATAGTTTGTTACAGCTATGTTAACTCCTAACAGATTTAATGACTTTCAAAACGATGTTCAGTAAATTCATTTTCATTGTAATAAGATTATTTAACAACTATATTTTGGAATAATCAATATAATGAAGAGTACCTGAATTTCAACAGAAATATCAATGAAGACTTAAAAACAAATTGTGTTTTTTCAATAACACCAAATTTAACTTAATGTTGTAGCTGCATAACGAAAGCTAAAAGTATACAAGAGCTGTATGACTTCAGTATGGATAATTATGTAGAAAATATGCTGCAATAAACAATAAAAACTGTCACGATACTGTAACATAAGGAACCGAACAAAGCGTTATCCGTTTTACCCTTAAAAAAGGATAAAACAAAAATAAACTTCTTAATACAATACATTTATTCATAACTTTTTCTCATATGTATGCAAGACTCTTTGGGCTAAAGATTGTGGTCTGTCTCAAGTAAACCACAACATTTAGCTTACTCTTCCTATACGTACTAAATTGTATTAAAACTTCAGTAAAATGTTTGAATTCATATTATTCCTTGAATGTAGGAGTAATGAAAGAATAATTGTCAAGAGAAACTTAATCTAGATAAATAGCCAGTCACAAATTTATGATGTACAAAAAAGAGAGTAAAGTTGATAAATGTTGGTGCGATAAAAGAAGCAAAATAACTTACAATTGCATCTCACTAACCCCAATTCATCTCTTACTAGTTGTACCTTGTTTACAAGACATTGCCATTCCAAACTACAAAGAGTGTAAGTCTGGTGTTAGACTCTTTTTTTTTCAACTTGACTATGTTCATCTCACAGTTTTATTTCTTTCTCCTTTTATACATATCAGAAAGGTGAAATATTGCGCTTTCTTTTGATGTAAAATTACGTTGGCTGCGTTTAGTTACATTCAGATAAAGAGCATTCCACTTAAAGTGATATCTATCCCACATTTCTAAAACTCTTTACGCCTTGCTTATTGGATATTTCGAACGATATATAGATATATATACGTATATATATATATATATATATAGAGAGAGAGAGAGACAGAGAGAGGAGATGTTTCAATTTAGGTTAGAGAAATGACACATTAGATATTTATTCACACAACCCTGACCTATAAGAGTACGAAGCGATATTGCTACTAGATAAACCTCAACTCTGTAAAATATTGGTATAATAACAACGAAAATATACGCTAGGCAGTAGAGTTTGGTATTGTGTTTTTCTTTCAGAAACAAATTTGGTGTATCTTCATAAGTTTACGTTTTTCTCTGATTAACAAGGATCGTGGTTTCTTAGAAAATATTATTTTAGATATATTAATAGCTATATTAAGATGACAACAAAAACATAGCATACTTCTACCAACACATTGTTTATTAGCATATCAACAGACTCTACAGCTGACTTGTGACAGCGTTACAGGCAATAAACAAGAGCGACAGTTTCTTTGATCTACGACAAGTCACTAAAGCTGATGAGCTCATTTTATGTCGTGGGTTTTACCAAATACATATTAAAAATGGCAGCACTGTACACCTAGATAACAGTGTCTGTACGTTTACTTCACTCATCAACTTTATCGACTCTGAAGTAAACTCAAAGACTGCCTTATGCCATTAGTGTAATTTTTATACGTCTACATAATGTAACACGAATACACAGGCAGACATTCTACTATATATATATATATATATATATTATACCCCAGTCGAATATCAATATTATTGAGAATTTCAGGATCATCTTTTTGGAGAAAAAGATACTGGTTTGTTTCATTCATGAAATTTCTATGACAAGCCACAATGAGCGCACAAGTTGAAATAACATCATTCACTTCAGGGGTTAAAAGAACAATTCGTTAATGGAGTCACTCTGAGCAACTGACAAGTAACTTTTTTCCATGTTTGTTTTTGTTGTTTCTTCAATGTGACAAGAAGTTAGATACTGTGCAAAATAAAACAGTGATAGTCCAACGACGGTTAGCCCGATTTTCCTCTGGGCTGAATACTTTAATGATAAATTGTTCCAAACTTTTAACAGCACACCGCATACACGGATTTAACTGACATCATACAAGTACAGAAACAAGTAGTGTTTGATACCAAACACTACACACACACACACACAGGGATCTGTAACCGATACGATGAAGAAAATCAGCTGGGTTGGTTCCAAGTTCCACTGCGTTCGAAATTCGTCTCAAGGCACAATGTATGGGCCAGAATCCACGTAGTAAGCAAAAGGACGATGTTATAGGTGATCACGGTTCCTTGGCTGGTATGTCGACCATGATGCATGGCAGCTGGTTTATCTCCTAAGTAAAATGGGGAAAAAAACTGCCATAATGATGTTAAAAGCAGTTATGTGAAAAAATTCCAAACATTAATTTGATGTTGTATAAAAACATTATACATGTAAAACAAAATATTTACTGCAGTTATTGATAGTAAAATTTGGTTGGTTTATCATTAGTTTTCAAGTTACACAAGTTTCATTATTTTATAACGAAATGAAACCTGCAATTCAATGATGACTTCAGGTTTCAATGTTATCCAAAGGCAAAGGTAACCTCCCACTTCTAAGCCATTATTTGGCGAAAGTCTACGTGTGTGTGTGTCCGCTTATGACACACGAAATGCCGGACCAATTTTCACCAAAGTTGGTATGTATCTCCAGGGGAGTGACATAGGGGTCGAAACTTGGATCTGACCTGCTGTGTCACTCTCCAGGGCCCCTATGTCTTTCTCGTGCGTTGAAGATGTACGTCAGTTAATAAGATTAATAATGATAGTATAAGAACAATACTTTTATAGCATGTTAACTACCTTTAACGGGGATTTGACGTGTAACTTTAATAAAAAAGTATATAGTGTATTTTTTATCTAGCTCATAAAAGAACACTTTTTGCAAGACATTAGAATAACTATTTATTTTGTATAGTGAAAGAGATCAGATGCTTAAATTGTAAACATTTGAGGGGTTGATTGTTAGAATGCTTCTTAACTATAATACATCAAAGACTAACATTTCTTAAAGTTGTCACTAATTTGGTCAAAATATAAAAGACTAGTTCATCAAAAACTAACATTTCTTAAAGTGATCAGTAATTTGATCAATATATAAAGGACTATCCTTAGAAGACCGAAAAACAGTTTGAAACATTTAATACATAGAAATCACAAATAAATGTAATAGCTCAATTTCGAGCAAATTATTATTAGACAAAATAACGATCGCTTTCGAATATTCTACTCTTGATAACCGCACACTATAAAATCGTATTAAAAATGCTTGTGTATAACACTTGTAAAAAAACTGGCATCGAAATAGTTATACTGATCAAAATTTTAAATATATTATAGGTGCATGCCAGAGTAACTAAGCCTAGTCTTTACTTCTATTAATAAATTTACCTTTGACAGAAAATTATTTAACTAGCGGGATAAGGAAGGTTATCAAGTGGTATAATATTTAACTTCGGTTTTACGACGGTATTTGGCTATTTAATTTCTCTCTGAAATATTACTAGACTTACGAGGGACACAAGTAATTGTTTCATATCAAAATATTTTGTTTTCTGCGACATCGCTGACAGCATTTAGACGCAATTATTAGAACACGTGGCTGTACTTTACATATGTTTTAACACAGTAGGCTGTTACTGTGTTTGAACAATGTTGTTTCAAATGAAGTGTTATTTTTTGTTTGCACAAATATAACGAATCTGTAATTATTTTTTATATTTCGTGCAAAGATTCTAAGATAATGTTGTCATTAGTGAAGTAGTAAATCACATGGAACTGAAGTCTATAATGTCTTCATTAATGTCTACTAATTATTGTAGACGGAAGTAATAATACCAAACTGCTAAGATACGATAACAATTCTCATACAGAAAATTCACTTTTATCTACAATACTATAGTATGATCAAATCTATTTCTTTAGAGTTTTCATTTGTTGTACAACAGCTCTGAGGTAATGATTATTCATTGTAGATTATATTGTATTTATTTGGTTGTGACTAGACAATGAAACACCTAAACACATGTTTTTTAATCCTCACCCTTTCGGTGTTGTAATTAAATACTAATATCATGATTATCTGAAGGAAGTTCTTATACAAAATCTGAGACCAGCTGAATAACTAACCTTGAAATGGATCATTTTGTACGCAACGAAAACATTAGGCTGTGAAATCATCTTGTTAACGTATAACATGATTGTCTTTGTTATTATCATAATAGTTTAGTACTTACAAGAAATTTGTCTCGTGACGTTTGTTTCGTTGATAATGTTATTTTCAACTCGTTTTAATTAACTGGTAGTGGTAAATAATAGGACTTAACTCAATAACTACCCAATAAACTGCAATTTAATCAATATTACATAAAATTTTATTCAAAAACGATTTGTTTTAATCTTATTAATCTGCAAAATAACGCGATTACTGTTATTACTTACCATCAAGTACATGTACTGTAATATTTGCCGAATAAGCATACGAAGGGGAACAAGAATAATTCCCAGAATTACTCAGCTTAGCGTTCTCAATTCTCAACTTGCTCACTGTTGTCGGACCCTTGTCTGTTACTACCTCAATTCCTTTAGTAGTCTCGTAGTTGATCATTTTACCATTGTGGTACCAGAACACAAAGATAGGAGGAGAAGTATTGTTATTTATGACGCATGTCAAGTTGATTGTACTTCCACTCTGGATGTAAAGTTTTTCTCCTTCTATAATTACTGCTTTAGCCACTAAGGAAATAAATGAACATTTATACTGAAAGAATGCTAGTTTAATACATTATTTACAACTCCAAAAATCTTGTTCTTAGAACAAGTAGAAATGCTACGAAATTTTTAAATCATGATTGTCTTGTCTGTAAAATATTTGAAATATATTTCCAATTTTTTGCATAATTATATCTTTGTTATTTTCTTTTTCTTTTTCTAAGGCATCCTAATTTTTGTAAGATAATAAACAAACGAATTGTTATACCCTATTTTCATACACGTTTTATTTACTGTTGCGATTACCCCAAAATTCACTGTACAGGAAAATCCAAGATTAACTCCCGTAATCTTTTGTTATGAGAATAATACTTCATCATTAAATGTGGAACTATTGAAGAAAAGTAAAATTTCATTATTATATGTATGAGAGCGTAAAATAACTTATGTTAGATCCTAAGCTACTTTATAATTCAATAATGTTGGAACAGCGCGTTGTTGTGGTGATTTCAACATGTTTCGAAAATAGTGTGTTATTCTTCTAGATAATACCGTATGTTATAACGCACGTCACGATCAACGCAAGTAGACTCCTTCAATTAAGGTTACCAAAGAAGAATAAAACAACAACAACAAAAAAAAAGAAAAAAAAGAGGCAAAACGCACACAAACAATTGCTGGATTCTTACCAACAACGTTCAAAGTGTAATTCAGACTTAGTTTAGGCTCGGTACTAATCTGGCACTCGTAAATTCCAGCGTCTTGCTTCTGAGTGTACTGAATTTTCAGCGTCCAGTTTGTTGTTCCTTCCAGATGAAGGGATTTAAACCTCTGATCACTGGTGTAAGTGTAACTGCCAACGGTCAATATGTGGAGATCACGTTGACGAACCCAGGATACCTTAAAAATGAAAATGAATAGTAGAAGTAATCGATTTTGGTAGTTTAAGAAAATATGAACAATATAATCATACATCTTACCTATATTCACCATTAAAATTTTGTCTACAGAAATTGAATAAGATAAAAGATATTTTGTAACACTAATATTCGGCAAAAATTGGCAATTGAGCACAAAGCAAGATACGTCCTTGTGGATTTGTTTGTTTGTTTAGAATTAAGCACAAAGCTACACAACGGGCTATCTGTGCTCAACACGTGTATTGAAACCTGGTTTCTAGAGTTGTAAGTCCGCAGACATACCGCTGTGCCACTGGGGGCGTCCTTGTGGAAAGACAATGTTTTAGTACTGCATTCAATACTTAGTCATAATGCTTAAAAATACCACTAGTGAATAATGAACCGCATGATAAATAGCCTTTTAGTTTATGTTTGTCCAGTTTGCCTACTTAATTTATTTTTTTAAGCACAATGATCTTTGGAATTAAATGTTTTTTTTATTAAACTTATTTAAAGTCTAATAGTTACACCAGACACGTCAAATCATAAACCTAACACCAGATATAGTTACATATAACATATCTGAAAGCTAAGCTAGGATACACGTTCAAGTAATCTAAAATTATAATATATAATAAAGCTTTAATGGCAAAATCTTAGGTTTCTAAAAAGTCTCATACACGTGCGTAAAACGACAGTTTGGATGACTGGAGTTAGGTTGCAATAAAAAGACAAATGTAAGATACATAAGCTATCGCTGAAACGTGAGAAAGAAACGGTATCTTGGCTTGTGTTCCTACCAGTCTCTCGTAGTGTGTTGGATTATACTTGAACCTTCCAATTTGTTCTTTATTTATTTTCTATGGGATTACGTGCCAATTTTGTGCAGTAGTGTCAAAATTCTAGAATATATAGTGAACAGCTTGACCCTGGAAGATATATGAAGCGTTAGTATCAGGTTAAGATTTAACAGAACAGCAAGCTATTGGCATATACTTAGGAAACGAGCTTCAATGTGCTTATTAGTAGCAAATATTCAAGAAGTGAGGCAATATTTTTTCTTTCGTTTCATTACTGATTTTTTTTTCAGATTACAACACGATCATTTGTTTACATACATTTGCTCTAAAAAATGCCATTCGTACTTAGCTTGACTTTTGTTCATTTTATTATTAGTATAATTTATTTTTTCAAATAAATTATGTAGTTTCTTCTTATATTGAATTTCTTAATAAATATTTATTTTCATTTCACTCCAATTTTTACACATTTATACGTAGCAAAAGTAGTCACAAGATAGTGCGATAAAACTGAAGTAAAATAATTTAAATACAGAGATTGAGGGCGCTGTATTCAAACGATTTTGAAGTCTCATCACCTCGTTATAGTCCATGTCACCATATCCGGTCATGCTCTATCTAGCGACCGTGCATCTTTACAATAACCCTGCAGCGCAGTTTCCATTGCAAAAGTACTTGTCGTAAGGCTGTGGTATCCTACACACCACCCCTCCCTGCGTGATTTCATAATATATATATTGTACGAGAACGACTGTTACTCAGCGTAAATTTTAACAGTTTAATTGCAAAGAAATCTACATGCACTGCGTCTGTCGACTTGACCGATATATATCTTAGTAAAGAATAGCATGAGTACCTGTTTTATTCTTCAGCTGCTTGAGCTATGTGACAGTTAAACGATTATGCTGAGACCCTTCTTGGTTTGGTTGAGTACTGGTCCTATGGTACGTGGGCGGCTTTTTCCACAGACGTTTGTGTTTGCAGATTCTCACCTGTTACAACCTTGCTTACCAAGTCTGAGATATAACTTGTTGCAGATCTTTTTCTGGATGGTTTTGGTGCCCTAAGTTGATCTATATTACTTTGTTGTCTACTATCATTATGTACAAGATATGTCACCATCTTGGAAATTCTATATATTTGATCTGAACACATTTTGATAAACTGAGTTTATGAATATTTTGTGTTGAAAAGGACTATTACATAGCCTTCCAAAAAGCCATACATTTTCAGCAGTATCACACTATCTATGTAACGCTAAATAATGTCAAAATGTAGTTCTGATACATTCCGTTCCAAACAACTTTATATTGGCTGTGGTTATCACGTGACGTGCTGATCTGATATTTACAATCGTTTTAATATCTCGTACTCCACCGGCTTATCTAATCATAAAGTATAAAATATATTCTTATATGTATCTGCTACACGACTAATGAATACTATAACCTACAAACTGAATCTGTACTTATGACAATATAAGGTTTGGTAACAAAACTTTAGCAATATATGTAAATTCAATTCGTTTTAAGTAAATTTGTTTTATAAACCACAGAGTTCCCTACCTGTACATGTTCTTCCACAAGGTTGTACCCAAGTGTTATAATCATAAGTAACGGAATTCTGTTGATAGTGAAAAGAGACAGAACTAAACAAGAAACTTAGAAACATTCAGTAGAAGCTAGTCTACGTTCTGCCCACGGTGGGTAATCGAACACTTGAGTGCATACGAAGTTCTTGAACTTAACGCTGACCCACCAGGTTATGCATGCAGTGAAAGACCAAAAGGAAGGTTTTATGTATATATTAATATTTTCAAATATAACTTTCATTAATATGTAGCTTAATTATGATTAACTGACGATCAGTTGGCCGCACCCATCACTTGTTAAATTTTAAGTTCATTCATAACAATAGTTTAATTCACAAATACATCTTAATTTCCCATTCCAATCTCTCCATCCTCTAAAGTCCAGCCCACTATAAATAAAAGGTTGGATAAACTTACTGTACAACAAAAAGTATATTTTATACATGATAATCTTCAAGTAACAAAATCTGATCTAATTTTATGATTAAATACATATTAGAATTAACATATTTATCCTAAAGAACCTCTAAGGTACAGAAATGTCCTGTTAAACAGTATTATGAATACACATTAAATAATATAAGCATGTTCTTGTATTCCGTTTTTACATTGTTAGAACTATATTGCTGTTATTTGCAAATATCAAGATAATATTGCATAAATTTTATTAGTTATGCGTCTGATCCTCTAATACATGCTCGGATTATTCTGCTTCGGTCCTCAGTATTCATGGTATAATAGTGACCAAATATTATATATGATAGTTTTATCAAATGAGCAGCTGATCCGTTGATACATGTTCAGCTAATTTTGCTTTAGTCCTCAGTATTCATAGTATAATACGCTTCCAAATAGTTTCATTAATTCGAAATTGTCATATTGATAAATATATCTATTTGATATACGTCAGGTGTATTATACTCTAGTAAGGTTATACGAACGAGTTGCAAACATATATACCCACATAATCCCCATTACACCTAATCTTCTAGTATAGGTGATTAAAATTTTCAGTTCAAATTGTATGGAAACTGAAGATTCTGTTCACTCATAAGCGAAATGAACTACAGAATGTAAAAACAACAGTGTCTAGAAATTGTAGCACTAATGAAACTCAATTATAGAAATAACAAGCTCCTGTGGTAATCCGTGTGAACTAAACTGATGACGTTATTTGTATGCTTAAAACCCAACGGTAAATTAGTAGGTCTCATATAAGGAAATGAAGAAACTTGCAAAGGGTCTACTTGTACATAATTAGCTCTCGGTTGGTTACTCTATCGTTTCAAATTAATCTGTAAAAATCGGACTTTTTCTAGCGTGAGAATCTGTTGTGGCAGCTAAAAAAGTAGCATTTGTTTCCTTGCTTTCTTACGGAAACACCCTTTGAATGTAAACATTTTATCTTACTCTATTTACGAAGACTTAAAAGAAAGCAGGACACGAGTATTGAGCTTTAATTTAGACCTGTGCTACAGTAGTTTATACATGATATTCATTAGGGAATTAAGAAACTGGTCGAGGATAATTAAACTAGTTGGTTCAGGAGGTGGTGTGTGCAAATGAATAGTTCTATGGTCTTTCTGTATCATAAAACCTCCAACGCCATCTCATAAGAGGAATGAGGACCATTTTAAGTGAGGAAGAGTAATATGGTTTATTGTTAATACTGAGTGCTGTTCGAGTTCTAAGAGACCAAGAATGCATCACGTTCAAAGGATTTAACATCAAAGTAATAACAAACATCTTAGCATAATAAAGCAGATACGAGAGATGTGATGGAAATAATTTGACAAACATTTATTGTATTATTGGGTTCTATTTAAGTTCTAAAAGACCAAGCATGCGTTTTATTTAATGGATTTAACATAACAGTAATAACAAACACTTACATTGCCGTAATAAAGCAACTACTAAGGATATGAAGGAAATAATTTGACAAACAATTATTGTATTATTGGGTTCTATTTAAGTTCTAAAAGACCAAGCATACATTGTGTTAAAGAATTCAAAATAACATTAATAACAACTACGTTGGTGTAATAAAGCAAGTGCTACAGATAGTATGGAATAACATGACGATAAAGATATTATACGTTATTTCCTGTGTCACATAACTAAAGGTAGTTCACCACCCCACCCCCCAAACAAAATAATTAAGCACCTGTTCATGCATCTGGATTGGCAATGAAAACGATTAGAACATTTACAGACCAATTTAGCAGAGCTAAAAATGAACCACCTGAATAGGAAACACTAGTTATAATTTTAAAGCTAGATCGGTTATTATCTTCTTTTTTATTATTTATTATTTTATTATTTTTATTAAATTTTATTTAATTTCTAATTTTTGAGAATCAAATTTTAAACAAGAAAAACAACAAGACGCAACACCTTTCAATATAGGTCATCTCTCATTCAAATATAAAAAGGGCGGATCGAATTAATGAGCATTTCAGCCTCTGAGATCATAAATTTCTTCGAAAGAACAAAAAATAACAACAATTCTTTTGTATTCTCTAGCAGAATCCTGATCCTGCTTTGGAAATACAATAACAGACTGAGTTGACTCCACTATTGTATAGAATACTTGTTTTTTGTTGTTGTTTT